GATCCTTCTTTTGTTTTGATTTTAATCCCATGTTATTTAAATGGGCCAAAATCGGACTTTGAGGGCTTGCCAAGGGTTTATGGGTCAACGCACCGACTTGTGACCCTCAAAAGGCACATCTACACGCTAAGGGCTTTCAAACAACATAAAAAACATTAAAATTGAGCCAGTGGTTTGGGCTGTAGGTCCGTCAACATTTAAGGAGAAGAAGGAGAACACGGAAAATTTGTGAATTTTCAAACTAGTTTTTCTTGGCTCAAACACAACCTTTTTTTAAATTCTTTTTTTTATTTTGCCAAGAATGATTGCCCCTATCCAGTGGATGAACAATTTTTTTAATAGCTTTTGTTTCTTCAGAACTATAGACGAGTAAAAAAGCCACTTTGTCACGTCATGTATATATACACTGCAGCAGCTGTGTACCGCTGGGGGACTTGGCGGGGCGGAACGCTGCCGCGTTCCTTAATAGATACTAGTGTACCTGTTGCTCGAATTCGAGCAATTGTGAAGCATTTACAGGCGACTCAAAGATTATGGAAATACTCACGATCTACACAACAGTTAGATATAATCAAAATCATTTGTAAATATCTTATCCTTTTTCAAAAAGCTGATCTTGTTTTTTAGTGTTTTTAGTGTAATAAAAACATTATTTCTATTTATTTTACGTGGTTGTGTTCTATGACTTTTTCTATGTTTCCATTGTTTGCAAATCGGTTATTTAAATGATTGCCCAAGAAATGTAGCACAGTGTTAATTCAGTTTTATTTTTAGCCTATATCAAATTGTCCAAGATTTCTCGCTCTTTTCCATTGTAATAATTACACCAACCCAAGTTTCGTCTACAGATGCAATTTGCCAAAGAATATCACCTACGTACAATCTCCAAGAAGTGGTAAAAAAGGCAGAAACCAACCCATACAATAAGTTAACAAAGTTAACAATAAGTTAATAAGCTAACTCCATAAGAAATAATTTTAAAAGTTACTGTGATATTAGGATTTTCCACTGATTTGGTAATAGAACATTATATTGCAAAACATGACACGGAAGAAAATCGATTTTAAAATCAGAAAAATCCATTGCAAATACTGTACTTCATTTTGAAAAATTCAATAAATCACAATTTAAATATTAACAGCTGTTGTATTAAAAAGTAGTGTAGAATTATGCATATGGTCGTAATGTAAACAAATCTGAAGAGGCAACTTTAAAGGCTTCTGGGGCAGAGCCCCAAGGGAATTTACCTCTTTCCTCTTTTGATGGCTCATCTACAGACCAAGACCTTTCTTTAGAGACCCCTACCAAGTTTCTACTCCCAGCCGTTCTCTCAAATTAGCTGTGACAAAAACCCCATTTTCCTCCATAAGAATAACATGGGATGGGAATTTTAAGGCCACGGGGGCAGAGCCCCAAGGGAATTCACCATGTTTCTCTTTTGATGGCTCATCTACAGACCAAGACCTTTCTTTAGACACCCCTACCGAGTTTCTACGCCCAGCCGTTCCTCAAAATAGCTGTGACAAAGAAAAACAGTTTCAAATTAATATATAGATATATATATAGATATTTATATAAATTTGAACGGATGGTGTTATTGGCCTCTAGGGACCTCAAAACGAAAAAGTAAATCGGTCCCGGGTCCAGGTCTTATGAGTACTACAGTAATAGCTTATTCCCTATATGGGAAATTAGCGAAAAATATATACAATAAATGCACACATCTACAACTGCAGATGTTATGTGCAGATATATTTAGGGGAGTCAGCAAAAAACAATAAAGGCAGCGGTGACAAAAAACAAGTCTATTGCAATGCATAATATGGATACTGCTTGATATATACATTAATGTTTTAAGTAAATAAGCAGTAAACAACTGATTTTCGGCCCTAGGGATGTAAAAACCTGCTTGGTCCCCAAAAGACGATGGCAGCTGGCATGGAGAGCAATACGTAACTTTCAGCCTCCAATCAACGTTTGTAAAACGGCTAAAACATAATCATCATTGTGTGGTGAAAAACTGTACCACTTCAAAAATTTCAAAATTGATAATTGATAATTGCATTCGCTACAATACTATGAAATAATCTGTTTTCGTTACATGTTTATCACCTGCGAAATTGCATCATTACATTGTTTATTACGGTTAAAGAATGTTTACACTGCGAAAGTAATTTTTTTTTTACAGCATTTATTTCTGGTTCAATGTAGACATTATACACAGAAGTGTTAACAAAATTAAAAAGAAATTAACTATAATAACATCGTGGGTTCGCCCTAACCTGGTACACCCTGTAACATAATTAATTTAGAGAATAATTTAATCGTCTTTAGGCTTCATTCATCGAAAAAAAAATGTTAAATGTTAATGCGAAAGTAATGTTAACTATCTTTTTTGGATTTGCCAACGTAAACAAACAAAGATTTGTTATTGTTTTGACACCTGTTTAAATGTTCAACAACCAAAACTGTACAACAGAATTAAATATTAACTATAAATTGAAGAGATAACCTAAAAATGCTATGAGTTTTGTCACGTTCCTATTAATGAAGAAATATTCATTAGTCTTCGTAGTGAAAGTGTAGCGAAAAGTAACGTTCAAAACACGAGTGAAAGTGGGTCCATACATATTTTCGACAATTTAAAGTGCTTGATAAATCTCGCACTTCAAACATGGTCTCAAATATGTAATGACTCACTTTCTACTCTTGTTATGAAGTACTATTACATTGGTATATAACCTACAGAATATTACAAACATCAATATTTTCTCCCAATAACTGATCAGGTTACTTTTACAAACAGCTGCTTTTTGTTTTTAAATTTGTTCTGTGTAATTCTTATTAAAAAATCTACCTTTTAAGAGCGCCTCATGCCTTTTAGGGTAAGAGTTTTAAAATTTCTAAAGCCTTATTGCAAAACTAAAAATTGAGACGAATCTTTTGACACCTCAAACGTTAAAATTGGTCCACAAATAAGGAAGGAGTAGTGTTCACAAAAAACGGCTTCACGTATTATAGATTTACTAAAGCACCTGTTGCTCGAATTTGAGCAATTGCAAAATATTACAGGCGTTATTTCAAAACGAATGAATAACAGTCCTAATTTCCGATGACTTAAAGGAGTCAACTCAAAGATAATGGATTAATCACTCCACTCCAGTTATCGAAGCTAAAAACGAACTCACTCTGAAAACGAATGCTCTTGTGTGTATCATGTGTTTACTATGAACAGCTGTAATTAACACAAATTATTCGTCCGTTTAAGTAATCAAAATCTGTTATCCATAAGAAATACATTGGGATTTTGATGGCCTGTGGGGCAAAGCCCGAGGACACCTCAAACGTTACAGGAATTGGTGAGAGGAGGCGTCTACACAAAAAATACATAATTTTGACATATCATTTGTAAAAATCCGTCCATTATTAATGGAGGAGTAGTGTTTCGTAGAAAACGCCTTCACGTATTATATATAAGGACTAGTTCACTTGTTGCTCGAATTTGAGCAATTGCAAAGTATTACATGCGTTATTTCAAAACGAATAATCATAATTTCCGATGACTTAATAGAGTCAACTTAAAGATAATGTGTAATCAATCACTCCACTACAGTTATCGAAACTGAAAACTAACTCACTCTGAAAACGAACGCTCTTGTGTGTATCATGTGTTTACTATGAACAGCTGTAATTAATAAAAATTATTCGTCTAAATAAACAAAATCTTTTCTTCGTAAGAAATACATTGGGATTTTGATGGCCTGTGGGGCAAAGCCCAAGGACTTTTATAATTTAGTTTCTTGAATAACTCAAAAACCGTTGATTTTACAACGATATTAAAATGATGACATTTTGTAAGGTAATTTAATTGAAAATCGATAGAAGCCTTAATTTTTAAGGTTGGACGAATATCAACTGAGATATAACTGCTTTAGTGATACGTGGCCAATTTGTAAATAAATCGCCTTAAAAAGTTATTCTTATAACATCTTTGTAAAATCAACGGAATTTTAGTTATTCAAGAAACAAAATTATAATTGGCCACCATTTTGTTTTATGAATTTGGAAAATTGTCATAATTATTATGTAGCTTTGTCTAGATACCATTAATGTGTGTTCAAAGTTTCAATTTCGTATGTTTAACAACTGTTCAGAAAAAAAATAATAAGTGAAAAAAACCAAATGGCGGCTATGTAAGTAGGTAAGGATTTACAGACAGTTTAAATGTAGTATTTAGATATGTTTCTTATCCAGGAACAATGTCCTAAAATATCGGTAGAGAGTTCCGGGACACTCTGTAGTTTTATCTGTGCTACAACCGTACAACCATACAAAACCTGTGAAAATGCATTAATAGGTATTGCTCTTAAACAGAAATATAATATTTTCCAGCTAATGTAGAATTTTTAACAATAATGTAGAATAGAAATCATAAAATAATTCCCAAAGTATTAGAGAAATTAACCGTGCCTACCCTACTTCTTTTATTGAAAGACATACGAAGGCGGTAATAATACCACCTTTCATCCACACTGACCGAGTGTATTTGATATATTAAAGTGTGTGTTGTTAAACGGTTTAGTTGTTCAAATATGGAAAGGCAAATTTCACAGATAATATGTACACAATATTTCTTTTAAACTGATAACCAGTGATTACTTAAGAAATAATCAGAAGAAAGAGCCAGTTTAACCATATTATCAACGTGTTAAGCAATCGATATGCTACTAATTTTATTCAGATGCTTCGTTGTATACAATTATATGTATACAGTTATACAAAAATGCTCGTTAATCAAAGCTATTTAGATAAAACAAAAGTGTATTCACGATAAGGATATCACCAAAGCTTATTTATTAAATAATCAGATACTCCACAAGTTCTCTTTCGAAAACTGAACATGTTAAATTTGGTGTGTTCTTGAGGGAATTGTTGAGTTTTTTGTCTTGACGTACGCATCAACATTCCGCCATCTTGATTTTAACGATTCCTCCATGAAAATGGGGATAAAAGGCTTGGCTAAACTAATAAAAGAATTTACCCCTCAAGCGGTCCAGAGGGAACCTGACTGGAGTGGGTACACAGACAAGGTCGTGGCTGTAGACGCATCCTTCAGTCTCTTGCAGAAGCTCATTTCGTGGGACCAACATTCCAAAACAATCAAGGAAGAAACCACTCATTTGGTAGCCATCTTCTACGCCTGCTCACATCTTCTGCGGCATGGCGTCAAACCTGTGTTCGTGTTCGACGGAGTAGCATCAAACAGATACGTGAACCTGTCGGAGGAAGTTGCAAGAATATTTACGAATGATCAGCTGGGTCCTTCAAAAGAAAAGAAGAAGCATATCGGACTTCTTGCTGAAGCGATTCAGGCTATAAGGGAAACAAAGATAGTCGACACAGGGTACAAAAACCCTGTGAAAGAGGCCAAGGAGCTGTTGAGGTTGATGGGAATTCCTTACTTGGAAGCACCAGAAGAGGCTGAATCTCAATGTGCAGCTTTGGTGAAAAGTGGGAAATGCTTTGCCACAGTAACTGAAAATATGGATGCACTTACTTTTGGGTCGCAAAAGATTATTCGTAAGTTGTCTTTCAAAGCTAAAAGTAAAGTTCCAATTCAGGAGTTTGATCTGACAGAAATTCTGAAAGGGTTACAAATTAGTTATAAGGAGTTTGTAGACCTGTGTATTCTTCTCGGATGTGATCATTGTGATAAAATGAAACTCGACCGAAATACAACTTTGGAATTGTTACAGAAGTATAGGTGTGTTGAAGAGGTCTTGAGAAACATAGATGGAACCGTGAAATTTCCTTTTCACTGGACGACTCTGTACCCAACGTATGATGATGCTAGGTGTAAGTTTTTTAAACCAACTGTTTTTGTTTGTGAAACAATAGGTTTTCAGTGGAGACCACCTAATAGGCAAGGTGTTTTGGATTATTTGTGTGGCTCAACGTGTAAGGGTGATAAAATGAGAATGAGGTTAAATAAACATTTGGATCTCATAATATGATAGTTAGGCCAGTCAATAACAGCATTCAACATCGCAAACGCGCATGTATCTACGATTTTTTTATATGTTGTTAGGTCCCCTAAGAGTAGTTTATACCCAAGTTTGCAACCCTGAAAACCCTGTGCTACTCCCATGATACTTGAAAAACTATAAAATTATGTTTTTTTTTTGTTTTATTGAAAAAAAACTAACTGAAGGAAGCGTTTATCAGGTATATGTGTCCTATACTTTTTTAAAGTTGACTAAATTTGCAATAATTTGAACCCAGTTTGAGCCCATTAAGTCCATTTCTTGCGGATATAAAGTTAGCAAAAAATAGGACAATTTTTTCAAACATTGAAATATTATCGGTAGGCGCATTTGCCAAGATGTGTACAGGCTGAAGTAATGATCATAGAGAAAAGTCTTCAGGAAGGATTTTGCAGAGAATTTAATAAGCTTTAATTCAATTCCAAAGTTGTGTGTCTAGGCCTTAAAGTTTCACAAACAAATTTAAAATATAAAAATATCATATTTTGCGTAAATGTTGTATTTTGGGTTGTATTTCTTAAAAAGATTTGGACTCTACCTTCAAGACATGCTTGGCCGAAAAAAACACATAAAGTCAGACGAGTATCGCACGTTCACAGGGGGGTCCTTTACAAAACGTCGCTCTGATAAGTTCTGGTCTGGTTTATGGACAGATTCGACAATGGAACACGTACTATTGAGGTCCATGAAAAGCAGCATTTTGCGTATGAGCTAGCACCGTATCCACTGTCCTTATTCATTGAAGAAGGAATACGCAAGGGCACAAAATCGTCCTTCTATTCAGCATTTACACCGCTCACTGAAAACATCATCCCAGGAAACGAAGCGTTCATAGTGATTGATGGTGGTTACTTCTTGCACAAGGTTATCTGGCATTGAAATGATTCAGTCAGATCCATTGTGGTGGGATATGTCAGCTATGTTTTACTTTAAACCACTTCGGTAAAAACGTTGCTGTGGTATTTGATGGATACCCTCAAGATGCAGCTATGAAGAGCACTAAATCAGCTGAACACCTGTGACGCTCTACTTCTCTCTCATGCCAAACATTTTGTTTTATGAACCAACACCCATCAAAGTGTCCCAAGCAAAAATGCTCTCAAATGAATCTAACAAACACCGACTGATCACCATGTTGTGTACTGAATTTGAGATGCATGGTATTTAAATACATCAATCTCAAGAGGACGCCGATGCTGATATAGTGAGGACTGCCCTCTCCAAGAGTTCATCGTTCGATCAGGTTTTTATCATTGGGGAGGTGCTCCTCAACGGATTAAGCTCTGGAGTCTGGACAGACGAACGTGTACTTCCAGAAAGGCGGGAGAGGTGGATCAGAGTGTGCCCAGTATCCAGCAAATTCTTTCACATGTGGAGAAATGCATGTTCCACGGGAGATGGTTTTGTTCCTGCATGCTATTAGTAGGTGTGACACCACATCTGCCCTTTTCTGGCAAAGCAAGATGAAGTGGTGTAACGCTTCAGGAAGAAATAGGAAATGCAGAGAAGATTTTAACTGTACAAGGGAACGCTGAACAGTCTGAGATATACAGCATTTGTAAAATCGACAGCAACGGCCCACCTCCCACCCTCCCCACCACAGAGGCTGCAAGATATCATTCTCGGAGGACCTACCATCAGGTGCAAAAATGGTTATGGGTTGATAAAAAACCGTGTGACTGGGGATGGGCCACCACCATTGAGCAAGGTCTAATGCCCGTCACAATGTGCGTAGATCCCTCTCCTCAAATCCTGCTTTGAAATGGTGGCTTGCAAATGCAAAAAGGCTGCGTAGGGTCGTGCATTTGCAGAAAGGCAGGGCTCAAGTGTTCTATTCTATGCCTCTTTTGCCAAGGACAAAATTGCAACAACATCACTCCTATCGTCCTAGATGAGGATGTGGACCACCCAACTCAACCTTCAGAAAACGTTATCCCTCCTCCCCCTCACCGGGCTGATCTAGGCTGAATGAGACCTGGCCCTTCCAAAAGGGCGATATTCTAAACTCTTTTTGTGCTTGAAGGTTATGTATACATTGCAAATTTTTCAGTATATTTCTTAGTGTTTTTAGAAGCCATGTGTTACATCTATAAAATGTCAATTTCACATTCTTGCACTCTTTAAAGAAATAAATAATAACAGTAGTCAGTACCTAAATTGATGACATCATTAACGCAAAGTCTATTTTAATATTTTTTTAGGAAACTATAAGGCCTAAACACACCACTTTGGAATTAAATGAAAGCTTATTAAATTCTCTACAAAACCCTTTCTAAAGACTTTTCTCTATGATCATTACTTCAGCCTGTACGCATCTTGGCAAATGAGCCTACCGATAATATTTCAATGTTTGAAAAAATTGTCCTATTTTTTACTAATTGTATATCCGCAAGAAATGGACTTAATGGGCTCAAACTGGGTTCCAATTGTTGCAAATTTAGTTAACTTTAAAATAGTATAGGACACATATACCTGATAAACAGTTAGTTAACCTGAGTCAGTTAGTTTTTTCAATAAAACAAAAAATGAGCCAGAAATTTACAGTTTTTCGAGTATCATTGGAGTAGCACAGGGTTTTCAGGGTTGCAAACTTGGGTATAAACTACTCTTAGGGGACCTAACAACATATACAAAAATCGTAGATACATGCGCGTTTGCGATGTTTGCCTTTTTTCGTGTGTATATTGACTGGCCTAAGTGACAGATAATAAGTATTATTTTAGGCATTAAGTGTTACGATAGGTAGTGAAAACATACATGTTAAACATTGAGCTTTCCTTCGAACATACAATAGTGATTTAATGAACCCTCTATGAAAACAAGCAGTTGTCAGTGTAGATCGAAGTTACTGTAACAAAATTGTTAGTAGACAACATTCTAGAAAATATGTTCCTAAATGTCACTAGAATGATCTGAATGATTTTTTCAAACCGTAGAGACCATTAGAAAAGGAACCCTTGGGCCTTGGGCCCCCTGGTTTCTCCTTATCAAACCTGTAAACCAACCCCAGCCACCCCAGAACTCTATTACCTCTGAACCTAGTCAGGCTTTTACTTCTAAGAAAACTTACAGTTTGTGTTAAATGAGTTTGATATTTGACATTGTTCCTTAAATGTTTAAATTTGTACTTAAATATAAAGTAGTTGAATGTAGTATAAGTCAATTCGGAGTCTCCTAATAATATATGGATTTTCATACAAATCTTTCCGTTATGTTCCTTAATTAGTTTGGTTAATGTTTTTTGATACCAGTATTTTTATGTTCACCCTAATATGTAAAAAATACATTCATTTCTCCAAGACGTTTCCCAGCTTAAACCTGGGTGAAATAATTTTAGAAATATCCCTAGAATACTCTCCCTTTTTACAAATCCAAGGGTGTTCCAAGTTTTTTTAACAACCTACTGGCAGCAAAATCCTGCGTTGCCTGGATAAAAATAAAACTAAAAATAATGGCAATAAAATATGCTTTTTGATTGAGTAATTCAGTATCTTTAACTTACTGATTCAAACTACAGCGGAGCGAGTACCGTACTATTTTTGCCGTGGGGGTCATAAACTGTCAAATCGCCAGGTAGGCCCGAGTGCCAGTCTACTCCCTAGAGCGTAAGAGGGATATATGGGAGGGGTATTAGTGGAAGGGGGTGTAGTGGGCAGGATGTAACGGAGACCGGGTATAGTTTCTTAACTGGATACGCTAATATCTATTCGATTAATAAACCTTCATTAGATTTTTCATAATAATCAAGTTTGGGTTGGCTAGGTTAGGTTATAACAGTTTAATTTCGTCCCCAAAACAACTTTTGCTCATCCTGCCCCCCCCCACCCCCCACCGGTCGACTTTTTCACCCCCATACTCGCCGCACCGTGCAACCGGTGGCCGTAGAACGATTGGCACACATTTTTAGCCGATTTGGAATAGCACGACTGGCACAATCATTAGAGGCGATTGAAGGGTCAATCTGTAAGGTTCGGAAAGGCACGATTGGCACAACAGATCGGTAAGGAAATAGCAGCCAGGTAGCCAGAATGCGGGAAAATGCATATCGTTTTGTCCCCACAAATTTCCTGCTGTGGTGCTTATTAAAGTAAGGAAGGTGTAAGTTTGCACGACAAATCTGCAGCTACGGTCACTGCGCTAGCTGGATCCAAATAAAACGACACTGACGTAACCTAACCTTACCTAACTTAACATAACCTAACCTAACCTACCTTAACCTAACCTAACCTAACTTAACCTAACCTAACCTAACCTAACCTAACTCCTAACCTAACCTAACTTAACCTTTGAAAATACGCGATATTACCGACAAATGACTGTAGTAGCAGAGTTGACGGGGAATTTTAAACTTCCCGTTTTCCCTCGTTCGATGGCGTCTACCTGGTCGAGCGGTTGTGCCAATCGTGCCTTTTACAAGCAGGCGAGTTGACCCTACTTATTCCGCTCAAATGATTGTGCCAATACTGCCATGGGCAGAAGATCCAGAAATGTGTGCCAATCGTCCCGTTCCCGAACCGGCCACTGATGACTGATACCTGGCTGACACTCGCACCGCCAAGCCTCGGGCTGTAAAATGACCCTCGTAAAAGATTTTAGGTAACTACTGGCACTCGAGTCTGGACTCGAAGCAAACGATCATTATCTCAAATTAAAGCCTTTATTTCCAGGAGTATTTTAAGTAGAGTATAACTCAAAATATACGTTGGATAAATGAATGACGAACCTTGATGGCAAATATTTGTCTGCATACCTTTAAATTAAAACTTTTAAAGAAATACAAAAAAAATTAACTGAACGTGATAAAACAGTGATAAAAAGCTAACTAAAAATACAACACAGCATCTATTCTGCTAAAGCTTGAAAAATTATACAACTGTGTGTGTTTATTAAAAAGTGGACTAGTATTCATAGGTAAGAAAAAAATAATAGCAGATTGAAAAAATGTATCTTTTTTTAGTGAAAGCAACATAAGCTAACTCAATAATTAAACATCTTGCCATTAATTAATACTAGAAGTCGTCCAGTGGTCGAAACTCGACCATAAAAATGTACAAATGGATTTTGTAGCTAGAAGTGGTTGAGTATGGTGGAATATCTTTGCGGATGAACCTTTTTGGCTGTAGGCTGTAGTGAGTGCGATCCATCGGTGTATATAACGTAACATCGATGGTGTTAGGTTATATACATCGATGGTGCGATCTTGTGTTCAATGTTCAGATGTCAATTTGTGAGGTCAAATCAATACAAACAAACTGGCATGTTGTCAATTAGGGACAATGTTGTATTACTTAAGAAATTAATAAATTTCATTGATAAAATAAATTAATTTAGTATATGTCAATGTCTGATTTATTATAATAAAACATTCAGTATTTAAGCTACTGCATTTTATACACCAAACTCGAATCTTGCTTCCTTGGCCTATCGTACAACTTTTTCCGAATCGTAAATCATCATTATGTCCCAAAAGTTTATCATGTGTATCCCAGTCACAGCAACTACATTATTCTATAATATAATGATCAACATTAATTTTGCAAGACGATTCAATATTTTAATATCTGCTCATGTAATTTAATTATTTTCAAAGCAGCCATCACTAAATTTGAATGCAATAGTTAAAAGGTCCATCTTCAAAGATATTCCACCACAGCTTAACCACTTCTAGCTAAAAAATCCAATTGCACTGTACATACTTCTCTATTTTTCACCCCACTGTAAATAAAACATGTGATTGGAATTTGTTTTGATTATCTGTTTATATTTTGTTGTTATTTCGTCACCATCATGGCAACCCATAAAGCCCATGTTAATTTTTTGTTAATTTCAATTTCATTTGTTGTGCTTATCTTTGAGCCTATTTTAATTTATAATGGGATTCTGCACACCTACAGGAAAATATCTTTCTAACAGTATGCGTAAATTTTCCCTACGACGCACACGAGCTGAGAAAAAGGGTTTTAAAGAAACATGCTTGCCTATTAATATATAGATAGACATAGATTAACATATAAAAAACAAAGAGTTTTCAAAAGATTGAGGGCTGATTATATTAAATAAGCACTGAACAAACTGTAAATAAACAAAAACTATTTAAATAATTTGTAAATGTTTACAAAAATTAATTATGTTAGAAGTATAACAATAATTTATTAGTAATTATTTTAATAATTTACGTTTTAATAATATTTTTGGCCACTCTAAATATATTTTTGTAAAATAGCTTAGAAGATGAAAACTGGCGGCTTTATGGTCACGCACAAAGCAAAGAATGCAATAAGGACGGCCAGCCAGTGTGTCAACTTTAGTCCATGCCAAAGTGCCGTCATGGAGATTAAAATACAAAAATAAACAAATTAAGTTACCATAGAAATTATATAAAATAATATTAACAGACAAAATGCGCCTTTTTAGTAGAATCCAACACAAAAAAAATTCTTTCAATTTTATTTTTTTTGTAAATTTAAAACTTTCTGAATATTTTTATACCTAGATTATCAAGGTTCTAAATGAAATTATTTAATAAGGAGGTTTTAGCCTGATTTATATGCTGTTTATTTTCAATCACTAAAGAAAGAGCAATCTTCTTTAATCTCCGAGAATGCCTTTTATTAATTAAAGAATCACGTTACTATGTTCTAAGGTTGCAACATTTTAAAAATTACTGAAAGACGAATATTGGCTTCGTTTGGAATACTATAATTTTTATTAAAATAGCAATATGAATTAATTAATAAACTGATATTTTTCGGGCAAGTTTCACATCAAGACCACTCATTCAAGTATGCGGTAGGTGTACGGCTTACAGTTTTATCAAAAGTTCCAATACATCCCAGCTTTATATATAGATATAACAGTAAACAAATGTAAAACTTGTATTACCTTTTTTTAGAAAGCCAACCTATATTATTGTCAACCAGGGCACAAATTGCATCAATGTAAATAAGAAATCAACAACGTATAATACATAAAGGTTGTTATTATTACTCGTTCCATAGTTCATTGTATTTCATTTACGTTAATTTACACCATTAACCATTGAGTAAAGAAACATAGTTATAGATATTTAATTGATTTTAGGAACAAAAATAAATTGCGTACAGCTTAGTTTGTGATATTAAATTAAAGCTATTGTTAAATTAAAGCAGCTTTGTAGAAAAAAACAACTCCTTTTCTCTAAATGTAAAAAGCTAATGTGAAGTGCAAGTTATGTGAAATAAAATTATTAAACCTTTAGGGCACTCAATCGTAACCACGCATGAAATACAGTTCAAAAAGGCTTTAGATTTTAGAATAGCTTGCAAAGAGTAGACTTTAAGTAGTTTTAGTTTCCTAAGTAAATAATAGAAGAACATTTTTATGATTGTAGCAAAAGTAGGTACATGCAGCATTTTTGGCTCTTTTACGTGCAAAGGAAGCCCACCTTTTCAGGAAACTGGAAAAAATAATTGCTGCATTTAATTACTTTCATCGCATTTATTTTCTTTTGCCGCTTTTCAGTATTTTAACCAAACAACCAAAACAGCTTGCTTTTAATTATGCACGTAATCCGTGTACGCTTGAAAATAAGTTAGCAACACTTAAAGGTATTACGACAACGATCTAGTGCAGCGTTTCCCATTTCGTACAATTTGGGTTTAACCTAACCTAAAAACGTGTTGTACTGTGTTTGAAAGACTAACTATTTATATGATTTATAGTAACTGTAGGAAAAATACAATGTGTAATACGAGTGCAAACTGCCTTTGCTGCACTCGAGAAACTTTTCACACTCGCCTACGGTTCGTGCGTAAACATTTCTTTCGTGTGCAGTAGGGGCCACTACACCCACTAGTTACACAAATAACTATTTTACGATGTTTAGGGCCTACTTGTTTTTTTTTTTTTGCGTAAAATGAATGGAACACTAAATATGTTCATTTTAATCATCTATAGAATGAAAACATTGTACTCTAACAATAGACAAACACAATATTCCAGAAGTTAGGAGTGCAGTAAACTTGCACCTAACATTTCCACCGCGTGCAAATTCCAGAATGTTATTAACAATGTGGAGAACAACCTACATTCTCTTCACGCCACAACAAGGTTCTGAGAGAAATAACTTGAGGATTTACTGACTGTACATTGCTTTGAAGATGAGTGTTAGTTTTTTGGTTTTCTTAGTAAATGAATACATCTGAGAACATTTTTTTACTACCTCCTAAGAGAGAAAAGAAGATTCATTTTCTCTTTTACAATGGCATGATTCTACAGGAAAACCTGTTGAAGATATATAAAACAATGCACATAAACTTATTTAACGTAACATGACCATCTAGGTTTGCTGCAGTTAACATAATAATGCATTATTTGTTAATAGCTACAAAAACATAACTACAATTCACAAACTGTATTGCAAGTAGTCCATTCAGGTAGACTGAAGTAGACAAAGCAAGGAATTATTTTATATATTTTATATACAAATTTATTTATATAACTATTTATTTATATACTACTTATATTATGTGCAAACGAAAAATATGTTACTTGCAAGTTTCCAACCAAGGATCGCCTTCATCGTAGTTTAAGTGAGTTATTATATACATTTTTTATTTAATTGTTAATAAACCCTCTTTTTTCCAACCATAGTTCAATGACAATTAGATAAAGTTAATTGAGGCTACATAAAAACATTTAGTTATTTTTTGTAGCCTAAACTACTAATCGACATTAAGGCCTACTTCACAAACCAGAATCTTCGAATAAATGACAGCCCTGCGCTGATATCGAGTCTATAGTAATCCTAGTGTACGATATCAGACAGCTTTCTCCTGTGGATTTTGCGTGACTGAAATACATACAGAAGCCTTAGTTCTTATAATACCCCCGCCGCAGCAAACCTGCAGACTAAGCGAATTTCCATTTGCCTGATTGGATTTACACTAAAATGTCTCCTTAAAAATATCACATTTATTCCCTATTTAAATAACATTAGTTCAACGAGTACTTAGGTTTGCTGCAACAGGAAGGGTAAAAAGTTTTTTTTTTTTTTGTAAAATGTTAATAGTTTAGTATTAAAATAATGCATTTTCCATATTTGATCAAAATATGTTCATAAACAAGCAAACTACAACAGTTTACTTATTCTCCATAAGAATAACATGGGAATTTTAAATTTACAGATTTTTGGAATTTTCTCCGCAACTATTAGGCGCATAATATCGCTTCAATATACTAAATTATTTGTTTTTTTTAAGCTCTACAAAATGGTTTGAAAAGAAATTGCTAAATTTTAAGTTTTTAGGGTAAAAAATGGGAAAAACCAATTTTTACCCCATAAAACCCCCCATAAACCCCTGTTCCCATAGTCCGATCATGCTGATTCGCGAAATCGTTCGAATAAACGTAGGTTTACACGTTTGTACCAAATTTCATCAAAATCGGATGTTTTTTGCTCGAGTTATCGCGCTAACGGTCACATATATAAATATATATATATGAATCTGAACGGATGGTGTTTTTGGCCTCTAGGGACCTCAAAACGAAAAAGTAAATTAGTCCTGGGTCCAGGTCTTACCATGAGTACTACGGTAATAGCTTATTCCCTATATGGGAAATTCGCTAAAATGTAATATTTACCAACACATATGATTTTATCGAGTTAAAGTCACTTTAAATATGATTCCAGGATTCGGTTCCCTGAAAAATACCTTACTCTCGAATATTTTAACCGAATTATTTAAGCACTTACACGTAGTCTTAAAATAGTGCTGGTTAATTAAGATGGGAACAAATCCTAATAAATGTAACGTTTGGTGACTTATGGCCTTGTTACATTACCAAAGGTCTCTTTTACTAACATATAATTAAGTTTATTAAACTACAAACACTTTTGTTTGATTCTAATAATAATTAAAAAAAATGTATGAACTTTGAGCAAGATAAATCAGATAAACTAGGTTACGTAAATGTAACATTTCACTAGGAATTTGTAAAGTAAAACGCAGAAAATCAATATTAGGATGACGAAAGTAATAAATATCCATTTATAAACCAAATTATTCCGCAAAAAACGTTAAACTATGTTAAAATAAGACGCAGAAACCAAACTTTCTCGGAAGATTTTTGCAAAGCTGTTAAGATTAAAGTAGTTCTACGAATCTTTTTGATAATCACATAAATTACTAGATAATGCATTGAGTTATTATGTAAACAAAAACTGTTATCTTAATCTATTTTTGTTGTATAAGTATTGTAACTTTTGTGGAATTGATAAGTTTTGGTGTTTAGCTTGCTGACCGGAACATTTCTCTTCTACAACCATGGTTATTCAAGGAAGCAACGTAAGAAATATTGTAATTTAAGTTGTATAATGTAACTAGCTTATTGTTTTAATAATACGGAATTTTAAAAATGTACATACTTACATGTAAACTTAATACACCAACATATCTTCTTATTTCTAACCAGCGTAATTATGTCTCTGATTTTCTAAACTCACGACTATTCCACAATCAGCCTTAATTAATCAAATAAGTTTGCGTACTTATGTGTACTTAACAGGTAAATGTATACATATTCATATACAGGGTGTCCCGGAACTCTCTACCAATATTTTAGGGCATTGCTCCTGGGTAAGAAACGTACCTAAATATCATATTTAAATTGTCCGGAAGTCCTTAGGTACTCACGCAGCCGCTATTTTGTTTTTTCAGTTATTATTTTTTTCTAAAGAATGGTTAAACATATGAAATGGAAACTTCGCACAAACATTTATGACAACTAGACAAAGCTACCAAAAAATTATCACGATTATTCAAATTCATAAAACAAAATGGCGGCCATTTAAATTTGTTGTAAAATCAATGGTTTTTGATTTATTTAAGAAAGAAAATTTTAAATGGCCACCATTTTGTTTTATGAATTTGAAAAATCTTCATAATTTTTTTGTAGCTTTGTCTAGTTGTCATAAATGTTTGTGCAAACTTTCCATTTCGTATGTTTCACCATTCTTTAGAAAAAAATAATAACTGAAAAAAATAAAATGGCGGCTGTGTGAGTAACTAAGGACATCCGGACAATTTAAATATGATAGTTAGGTACGTTTATTACCCAGGGTCAATGCCCTAAAATATTGGTAGAGTTCCGGGATACCCTGTATATGTTTACTTAAGTGTGTAGGTATAATTTTTTTCAAAAATACATGGTTTTTATTTTCAAGATAAACTATTTGAGTTAGTAAGTCACCTCACTAGTAAACATTCAGAAGTAACACACAAAGAAGTAACACAGACTTGTAGTTTCAATATAATCAAGTAAGGTAACTTGATATTTATTTTCGTATATATTATTACGAAGGCTTAATGGTTAGGCATGATCACGCCATATGTTAGTCTGTTTAACCTTTTTAACGCAAATAATACCATAAAGGTTAAAGTACATAAGAGCCATACATCTTATTTTAATAAGTGAAGCAGTTAATTAATCCGTAGCAGGACCAGCTGTGCTTTTGACGTTGGGAAGTGAATTTCTCTTGGTTAATTTGTTTCTTTGTTTTCATAGCGCAAAGCTTTACTTTTTAAAATGTTATACAATTTTTAAAATCGTTCATTATCTAATTTTTTCTGATCTTCTTAAATAAGACTTTATTTTTCATTGAAACAAGTGACCTTGGTTGACAATTGGTATTTAATTAATTATAAAATATTTGTAAAATAAAATTTGAAACAAATGATGAATTGCATTTATTACTTTAAGGGTTATGGTAGATTTATAATTTTTTATAGTCTGAATATTTAGTATTATTTAATAAATAATTAAATTAAAACTTTAGTTTTCTGGGAGTTTATGATTAATTGTAAAGTTTTTTTTATGTGTTTCATTTCAGGCCACATTTGGTGCTCTGATATACTAAATAATGTTTTAATCTTCTTTTTAAGAAATGTTGGTGACGTGAGGTTTACTCATTAGTCATTGGTTTCAATAGCGAAGGACAAAAGCATGTTTACGAATCGATTATTTAAATTAATTTGGATAAATTATTTTAAAAGTCGATAGATTACAAAAAATAAACAGTAAACATTGAGGTACAGACTACATACACCTGAGGGTAATATAACTCAAAATCGTCTTCAGATTATCAACAAGGATTATAAAATCTAAAAAGAACAAATCAACATATTTCAATATATCAATCTGATAATTATAATTACCCTAAGAAATTAAATAACATTTAATTTAAGTGATTTAAATATACTGTACTTAAATTGTAAAAGTACTCTACTGTTTGTATTTCGTTTCAAAGAAAAGTATATACATTCCTTTCATTTGACAGTAAAATCGAAGACAAATAAAAATGATGTTTGCAGTGGTTATAAATGTATACAATTGAAGAGAGGAATAAACATTCAATCCTATAAGGCCTGGTTTCCCCAAAATGGTGTAAACTACGTTCATAATAAACTAGTTTATTTTTAAACTCTGTTTAAAATGTGTGTTCGGTTTCTCCAACATTTTACTGTCTTCGTTTAAGATAAACGGCAATTCGAGCTGTTGGCAATCCTGAATGTGTATTTGTTAAGGAATCTTCGGTGGGCTTTGGGCTAGTGTTAGTGTTTCCTACAACCACCACAACGCTACGCTACAACTCAGTAGAGCAGACGGCAGACAGCAAAGTGGGAATGCAGCTAGAATAACATTACTGTTTAAGGTTATGTTATCAAGTTATTATAAAGTTGTTATGAAATTCGGATTCATTCCATTTATTGAAATGGTCAATTCTGTCCCTTATTTTAGTAGGCCCTCTTGTTCTAGGTACTAAAGTGTCATAATCTTCATCTTCTACTTCTTCGAAAATGTCTATTAAAACTCTTCCATTTGAGTTAAGGGGCAAATACTGCAAAGTAGCCTAACTTGAAATAAAATATAAAAAAAGAACTTAATAAACACAATAAATATAAATATAAATAAAACTTAACTTATAAGCTAGCCCTAAACCAAGCCTATTTTCGTCCAAATGAATTTGCAGTTGCTTCAATTATTATTGTTTTAACACCTACTTTTTGTTTTTGATTTGAGGTTATGTTACTGTTGTAATTTACTAATTTGAACTTAGTTTATTTTATCCCCAGTAGTTAAACCAAGTCGAGAGGTGGTTTAGTTTGAACTTAGATTAATACCTAGTTTAAATTTGGGGAAACACAAATCTAAAATAAACTAAGTTTAAATCACCGTTTAACTTAAAACTAAGTTTAAATGAGTTGGGGAAACCGGGCCTAAATCGTATTGATTCCTTTCTTAAGATAAATGAAAACATATTTTACTTACGACCGTTTTTTAAAGTAGCCATATCAGTTCAGTTCTTAGAATTGAAAAGTTTCACTTAACAGCTGTTTACTTTCATATCAGCATAGTTTCATTTCATATCAACATAGTTTTTCTCATATCAACAAAGGTAACGGACCAATGAGGTTCAAGTATTGAGAGAAAAGAATTAAAATTGTAATGCTTCGAACGTCAACTAATCAGCTGATCAGCTGATCAGTTGACCAATTTAATTGTTGATCCGACTTGTTCATGTTGATACTCGCGTATTCTTAATTAAGTTGGTGGAAGTTAAAGCAAGGCAGATTACCCGATATTTGCCGAATTGTACCTGATACAATATTATTTATGGTAAGAATGCTGCTAGCAATGTAATATTTAACGAAGTTTTACAAACACGTAATTACATGAAATCAGCTGATCATACAACAAGTCGTTGCATCACTTTCAGTGGCAATGACAATACACGAAAACATAACCTCTCTAAATACCCCCGCCGCAGCAAACCTGCCGACTAAGCGAATTTCCATTTGTCTGAATTGATTTTCAGTTAAATATATTTTGATAACATTAGGTTTAACGAGTACCTAGGTTTGCTGCTACAAGGAAACTAATGAAATGTGTTTTTGAGTAAAATATTGATAGCTTAGTACAAAATAAATAAATTTGCCAAGTTTTATCAAAATATATCCATAAACAAGCAAACTACAACATTTGACAATATTCTCCATAAGAATAACATGGGAATTTTAAATTTACAATTTTTTTTAATTTTCTCCGTTACTAATAACCGAACAAAAATACTTTTATATACTAAATTATTTGTTTTTTTAAGCTCTTTAAAATTGTCTAAAGAGAAATTGGGAAATTTTGTGTTTTGAGGGTCAAAAGTGAGAAAAACCAATTTTTACCCCATAAAACCCCCCGTAAAGCCCCGTTCCCATGGTCCAATCATGCTGGTTCGCGAACTCATTCAAGTTTATCCCACTTTACACCTTTAAACCAAATTTCATCAAAATCGGACAAAAATTACTCAAGTTATGGCGTTCACGGACGTATATATATATATATATATATAACGATGTACGGAGGGATAATGCTACTTGATATTTAGATTCAGTGATATCACTACCGGCCGTCCCCCCTCCGCGCCACTTCCGGCGTTCGAGGCCGGGTAGCAGTATCCCTCACTCCGTATTTACTCGAGCCTTACGTCGATTCTACTCCAGTTGATACGGAATACAGGATAGTACTACCTAAAATACGTGTTGCCAACTGTTGAATTAAACCCCACTGTCATCTCACATCTTCTTTATTTACTGTTATTTTATTCTTTAAATTTTCGTATTACCTAAATTATAGACTTACGTTTTGTGAAGTTTTATGTCCATTTATATAATTTCCATTATGTACGGACTTTGTCTCGTTATTATATCTCGCATATGACCTTTGACTATTAATACAATAGTTTTTCTGTATCTCATAGTGAATGATATAACATACGATTTCCCAAAACTTATTATTATTAACCAATCGTTTCAATTGTTATAATTTAAAATTCTCATAATGCAACTGGTTAAATGAAATATAAAATTCCAAAGTGCAAATGATAAAAGCCACGTAATTTACCAAATAAAACTAATCTTAGTTTTACATTGCCGTTATTAACTCCGTTTAGTGATTAATTTCAAATGAATGTAGGATAAGTAAATACCCCCGCCGCAGCTAACCTGCTGTCTAAGCGAATTTACATTTGGCTGAATTGCTTTTCAATTGATCTATTTAAATAAAATTAGGTTTAACGAGTACCTAGGTTTGCTGCTACAAGGAAACTAATAAAGTGTGTGTTTTAAGTAAAATAATTATTGCTTAGTATAAAATGAATATGTTTTCCAAGTTTGATCAAAAGATATCCATAAACAAGCAAACTACAACATTTTACAATATTCTCCATAAGAATAACATGGGGATTTTAAATTTAATTTTTTTTAGTTTTCTCCGTAACCAATAACCGTACAAA